CTGGGGACACCCCCCCCCCCCGGCCGCAACACCCACCCCCCCCCCAACAGGGCACGCCAGACGGTGCAGCAGCAGCAGCGGCGCTCTCAAGAAAAGGGGAAACGCGGCTTCAGAACGGAAGTCGCCCAGGATGGCTCTAAGCAGCCCCCTCCGCTGTGGGTGCCGCAAAGGCAGCCCTGCGAGGGCGCAGCGGGGGAAGCAGGGCACGTGTGGCTGCCGCAGGGGGCTGAGCATGAACCAGACTTTCCCGGGGGAGCTACTCTGGGGACCCTGCTGGAGAGAGGCCGCTTTCCCTGGGCCCTGCGCCTGGACACGCCCGGGGGGGGGGGGTGTCCCCAGGAGGCTTCAGGAGGTTCTCACTGCAACTTATTGGATCTCCATCGTAACAGCGGGGTGGGGTGGGGGGCAGCCCAGGACCAAGAAGCAAGCAGCACAGGAATCACCCCTAACAGGCGACCGGGCTCCCAGGCCTGAAGGCCCCGTTTTCTCTTTCCAGGGGCAAAAAGGGAACGGGGCTTCTGCACCATGCGCCACCCCCCAAGCCCCCTCGTGCCCGAAACAGACCCCCGAGCGTGCCCAATTGGAGAGCTGTGCCCCAGGGAGGCATCCCATCAAAATCCCCGGGAAGGCCCCCTTCTAAATGGGGCCACCCGCCCTGAAGCAGGGCCCCGGGAGCCACAGGTGCGGGCGGGAAGAAACATCGGGGCCCGAGCAGCTTCGAAGAGCAGCCCTGTGCCAGGAGCGAGAGGCGAAGGGAAGGGCCTCAGGTAGATGTTGTTCTTCAGATGTCTATCCTCTCTTGCTCTCCCCCCCATTCTCCTGTGGGATTCACGTCCATGTGACCCATGGGGGTCTCCCAGCCATGAGCCAGTAGAGCCAGGTGCCTCCTGGCCGAACGGCCACTTAGGCCCTCACCGGAAGGCCGCTGTCTGAGGCCGTTCCGCAGCCTGAGGAAATCAAAGGCCTTTGAAGAGAGGAAATAGTGCTCTGAATGTTCATCGCCAAACCAGCGGCCACCACTACCGACCATCATGGTGGTTTCCACAGACTCGCTGCAAGAGATGGGGACTTGGGGTGAGATGAGATGGCTGCATCACAGGCGGAAGGACGCAAGAAGCTTGAACAGGGCAGGTGGCCCAATCCCTCGTGCTCAGCCCGAGGCTTGGCTGCTCCTGCGCAGACTTGCCCAGGACCCTGAGGGCACGGTGCCCCCTCCTGCCCTCGGGTGAACCATTCGCCTGATTTCCCTGCAGCTGCCTGTTTGTCGAGAAGGCTCCGCCCAGGGGATCTGGCTGGAACCCTTGCAAGGAAGTCTGTTTGGGGGGCGGGGGGAGATCGGGCCACCTGGAGGGCTTCCCTGGGGGACTTGTCCAGAGCCCCAGAGAAAGGGGGCGATCCAACAGGGCTGAAGCCAAGCCAGGCACAATCTGGCTGACCTCTCCCTGAACGTTACTAGAGGTTTAACTCCTTTTCCGGGAAGCGAATTCAACCTTAAGGACAAGAACCCCACAGGAGGGCCCATCTCAGCCCCAGCCAAAGGCAACAGCAGACTCTGTGAAAGATTTAAAGCTTTTAATCAGAAACCATGAAATCCATTCCTTTATGAAGCTCTAGCATCTGCCCAGAAGCTGCCGCAGGAGGGCCCTATCCACTCCGCCGGAGGCTCAACCCCGGGACTTCAGAGCTTGTACGCCCGCTGCTTGGAAGAGGGTTGCGCTGAGGAGCCCCGCAGACGGCCACTGAGTCGGGGGCTGCCCAAGAAATCATCGCCCACCAGAGTCTGCAAGAGCTGATGGGCAGAGAAATCCTGCCCACCCCCCATCCCGGACGGTGGGACAATATCACAGAGAGAGGTGATGGAATGAGCTCTCCGTGCGGAACGCTCAGATCGGCCGTGCCTCTCCGCTACCGGTTCGTCGGTTGCAAGGGCCTGCAATCTCTGCTGAATTTCCAGCAGCCCCTGGATCTCTTTAGGGCTCCAGCTTGCCAGAAGGACATCTGTGTTTTGAATCTGCTGCAGGAGTGTTGGAATCTGCTCCCGGGAGTTTCTGGATCCCGGCATGTTCCTCCGAGTAGCCTTGCCCGCAGCATCTGGGCCGAGACCCTGGCTGGTGGCATTTCTGGAGGGGCTGCTCGCCATGCTCTGCATGAGGTGCTTCATGATCTGGTGGAGCAGGTTCTTCACTGCTGCTGAGGCCAGCTGACTGGCTTCTCCTCGCAAGATGCCACTTTCTCCATTGCTGTGGTCATTGCCAACAGCTGTGAAATTCTGGGCACCAAACTTTAGGGGCCACGGCCTGGGGGAGGGCAGCTGCTGCCTGGCCCGCCCAGGCTTCTCACTCTGGCCAAAGGACGCCTGGTGGCCTCCCAGGGCTCCAGACAAGACAGTGGAAGCAGACCTTTTGGGGAAGGCCTTCTGCACCAGGCCCTGCACCTCTATCAGCACATCCTGCAAGGCTGTGTTGCCGTCTCCACTGGGGACACTTCCAGGACACGCCTGGGCCTGGGGTGGGGATTTGATGATTTCTCGCACAGCAGCTGGATTCCTGGCCAGCTCCACCACCAGCCTCATGCCTTCGGGAGAGCTGAAGACGTGGCTGATTTCAGGGGCCCTCTGTATTACTTGCCGTACCTGGGGGCTGTTGGTGGCCAGCTCTTTCATCAGATCGGGACTGGAGAGTTTGCTCTGGATGAAGGGGTTTTCTAACAGCTGGAGCATCATGTCAGGATTGGACATCAGCTGGCTCTGGAATTCTGTGAAATTGGCTGTATTCAGGCCCAGACTGGCCGTCAGCTCCCGGAGACCGTCACTAGCAAAAGTGCTGTTCCTGGGGGGTTTTGTGTCTGGGCCCACATCAGTTGAAAGAGTGGATGCCTGTCGGGATGGGCACGTCCGTGGGGAGCGGACAACCACAAAGACAGCAGCATTGTTGTCCAGATGGATCCCATGCTGGGCTAGTGACTTATGGTCTTTCAAGATCCTTCCAGTGTAGACCAGCACAATTTGGGCGGGAGAAGAGGACAGGTGCCTGGCTACATGCTCCTTGAATTCTCTCACAAGCATGTCCTTATGGACCAAAAACTCTTCCTTCTGCCAGGGCGTCTTCACAATGATCCGAACAACTTGCGGCTCAGTGGTGGATCTGAGGTCAACCCCCGGAATTTTCTGGCTTTCAACCATAATGCCTCAAAGTTTTTATTCTTTCTTCTGGGAAAAAACAAAGGCCAGGTGGGTAACAAGCAGGGATGAAAGATCTCCCTTGGCTGCAGCCAGTCAGAGTCAGATTGCACTTCTCATCCCAGCCCAAAGTGCCCTGCCTGGCTTTTTCACTCTGCCAGCATGCAAGCTATGGGTTTCCTCTTCTTGCCCTGCCCCTCCCACCCACCCTCAGATGCGCCATGCCAACCTTGTGATGCGGAATCCATTGTCTATGACGTCACTGTTGAGGCCGCCGGGTGGACCTCTCCCAGGCCCTCTAGGCTGCCCAGTGGGGAGTTCTGTGGACAGGCACCTCTCCACACAGGGCCACCCTATGCAAACCACAGATCATCCCTGGTGGGCTAAAAACACCCTGACTTTCTGTGGAGTCCTTGGGGTTCTCTGAGCTTGGTTGTTTTCTTGTAAACGTTTGGTTACCCGGCTAGGTAACATCTTCAGTGCTAGAATGGGATGGGGTTTGCTCGCTGTTTACATAGAGTGGCATGTGGGGCTGGGGGTTTCGTTTTATTTTGTTTTTCCTCTGGTAGTTCCTCGATTAGGGTATTGTTCACTGCTTGACTGTATGCCTGGTGTTAATCTCTGCTTATCTGGGTGATGATTGCTGGCGAGGAGGTGTTCTGGTCTTTTGTTTCCCTGTTATTGTCTCTTTTGAATGGTGTGTAGATGTTGTTTATCTCTGTGTGCCTGTTGATGGCTGCCTTG